TATTGAAAGCCTTTAAATGCTAGGCCTCTGTATTATTGTTCATGCATGTGTTGATCTTTCTGTGTTGTTCTGGAGCTGTGTTGGTCTCTGTGTGTTGTTTTCATGAGTATTGTTTGTTTATATGAATATTATATACTATATTATGGATGGAAATATGAAAATGTGACAAGGGTTTGGTCGTAGAAAATTATTATGGAGTCCCTAGTGCCTACCTTTTACGTGCAAGGTACAGGTCCTACATTTGAAAGCAACAATGTCTCATATTCAATGTCCCTTGAAATTACTTTTAATTGTGTAATTTTTTTGTTTTTGTTCTTGTTGATATAGAGAGAACTAACCATATATATCCATGGAATCCTCTCATTGTGTATTTCTTATATTTATTGAAATATGAAGTTTTCCATTTTAACCATTCAAAATTGGTTCACCAAAAATGACTAAGGTCCAAATAACAATATATAATCATGCAATCCGAATCTTTATATTGTGGGATTTGGTTAGATTGTTCATTATCAATGATCAAGCTAATTGCGATGGAAGTGTTGAGTTTTATAATTAAAAAAAAGAGATACGTCGTGTTTTTATATATCTATAACAATATATAAAAGAGATTCATCATTTTTGTATTCACAAATTTTAAGATATTCACATTTAATTTTATGACAAAACTTAGGTACGATTTGTTCCTTTATTGATATTGTTCTTCAAAAAGAATTAGAGTTTTATGTCATTATTATGCAATTGTATTTAATACAAATCTCATTAATATACATTCAGAAACTTCAACTCTTATTAAAGAAGAACACCAAACACACAAGGAATTGTAGCTAGTTTATTCTTAATTTAAATAATGTTATTTAAAATTGGCAAATAATTATATGTGACACGCATCTACCCTCAAGAGTGATACCAACTAAAAATACAAATAACTCCTAACTCTCAATTCATACTCATTAAGTCTTGATAAACTCAATTCAACTGAAGAATAAAAATAACGGAATAATGGTAAACAAATTACAACTTGAATGTATTGAATTAAATTAAAAGAAATAACATAATCCCTAACTACTCCAAAGCCCTGGTGTCACATTGGTATCAAAGTTTCCACACACCTAGATCTCTCCCTACTTCTCCAAAGACGGAGGATTCTTGTTTATTAAACACACAAAAACATACCAAAACAACAAGGAGTGAGAACAATCTTATTTTATAGGGAATGAGCTGCAACCCTTGACATCCCATCCCTTTATGATAATAAATATAATAACAACAATTAATACATCAACTTTAAATATAGATACCATCAATACATTCACAAACATATTTACAGTAAATATATTCTTAATATTTACAAACATATTAAGAATATATAGTTGGTACCCAAGTCTCAAGTTAACCTTAGGAGGGTGTATTGATTTAGGATTTCATAGGATTTTAAAAGACTGTTTTTGAGTAAAAAAGTTCGTTGGTATTCGATCAGGATTTTATGTCACTTAAAAAAATCCAATGGTATTCAATCATGATTTTCAAGATTTTTTAGAGAGTCAATTAAAATCTATTGGTATTCATTTGAAACTTTTTACAACTTAAAAATAATCCATTGGTATTAAAAAACATAGGAATTTTAAAAAATTGTTGTATTAGAGGAATTTTGAAGGACTTTTTAGTGGTATCTATAAATACCAAATTCATAAAACAATCACATCCAAACTCATGAGATTTTGGAGGATTGTTTGAAGTAACTTTTCAAGTGTTTCAAGAATTTCAAGTGAGTTTTTCATCTTTCTTTTTTCTATGCTCATGTCTTCTCCATTTTTTTCCTCTTGTTAATAATACTGCACTACTGCTCATATATAATACTATACTATTGTTCATATTCCATTCCCTTATTTGGTGAAACTTCTATAGGTAAATGATATTATCATTAACTTGCTTTATTTTTCTCTCCGTTCTCTTTAATTGACTTGTTCTATTTTGCTCTATTTAGTTAAGATTGTTCCTCAGTTATATAACATAGAAACACTTGAAATTTTAACTTTTAAGTAGTAATATCTTTTTAAAACACGCGTCAAGAAAAGTAAAAGGTGAAAACTAAAATTGATATCATGATCTCTATAATCAATTATAAATCTTTAAAACCTTGTTATATATAGGATTTCTGTGAGTAGAATGAGATAATAATAGATCTTAGTTAGGGAAGAACCCTCTCGGTATAAAAGCTGCGATCTCTCTCTCTCTTGAATTTGTTATTGTTATTTTTCTCCTTTTATAACTCAACAATTATTTTTTTCTTTTTTATTATAAATTTTATTTTTTAATTTTTATATTATGAAATTAGGATTTTTTATATTTAAAAAAAAAAATTAACATAAGACATTGTAGTATCTTATAATTCAATACTAAAAATATTTTTTCATGGGTGAATAATTGAAAACAATTAAAAATTTAAAAAAATTTATTTTGTACCTGTAACAAATTTCAGATTTTTTTTTCTCCTAGTTGATGTTTGTAAATTTCCACTTCAATACTAAGAGAGTTGGGTAGTTGTCCCACTATTTTTTTTAATCATTTATAAAACTATAAATAAAATATTTTAAATCACAAATTATAAAAAATTAAATGATATTTAGAATAATTTTTAGCATGAATGACACTACATAACTTTCTTCGTAAAGAATGTCATTCTGATGAATTTTCAGTTGTAGTGATAGATGAACCTTCATCTTCAACTTAATGAAAATCATAATTTTGAACCTATTATTAAAACACAACAGCAAGAACGAAAAGATACTAATGCTTGGATGACTAATATAATTATAGATATGTGAGTGAATTCTATTTAAAACGACAAAATATTACAAAATTATTATTATTATTATTATTATTATTATTATATTATTATTATTTATCCAGACATTATTATCATTTTATTATTTTTATATTTGACTCTTTAAATTTGAATGTATGAAAAAAATCTTGAACTCTTATCCTATATAAAAAATTTTGAAATTCTGCAAAGTTCACAAAGTCCCGTAGAATCCATTAAAATCCTAACTTAAAAGTCTTGCATAATCCATTAAAATCCTGATTAAAAATTTTGTAAAAGACTACAAAATCTTAAAAGTCATGAAAATCTTACAAAGTCTTTTAAAATCCACAGGACTTTTTTCAACTAAAAAAGTTCTTTAAAATCCTAATCTAATACACCCCCTAAAAAATAAAGTATTATTTAAAAGCTAAAAGTTCAAAGGAAAATTCCTATTTAAAAAAAAAAAAAGTTCAAGAATTAGACTATAAAAGCAATGAAAACTAAGTTTACTTCCAAATTAAATACACATTAAGTTAAATGAAATGTGATAAAGTTTAATTTGACTTTTCTTTCACAAAATGTTCCAAATAATCTTTTATCACAAAATATTGTATCTTTTTCTTGTATTTTTTTTTTCTTTTGGAGCAAATTTTTGAGTATTTTATTTTGTTAATGTTTTTGAAAATTTGTCACAAATTTTTCTAAGAAGAAAAACTCAAAATTACAAAGAATTTTAGAAGTAAAAATTCAAAATGAACAAAAATTAGATAAGACATTTTGAGATAACACTTGCGCTTTTCTTTAGAGACTTTAGAAACTTCAAAATAAGAAGATCAAATAGTAACGTACTGCAGCCACAAGTGTTTTAATAGTTAACCTCAGCTACAAGTGTTTTCACAAAGTGAACAACACAAACATTGAAATTAAAAGAAAGGGAACACGTATAACTCAGTCTCAACTATTAACTCTTACCTCAGATTTCAGAACTCATAAGTCAGAAAGTGTGGAATGGCTGCATAGTTGGGGTGATGGATGCACTATTTGCCTCTGCAAAGTGCAAATACATTTCAGAGAAATAGAAATGTTCAGAAGTTTTTCAAGGCTTTGATGTTCATGCATCAAGAATTCAGACTTTAGAGAAGGAATAACTCTGGCACTTGCATGACTGGTCTCCTTTACTGAAAACCTGCCGAGTCACCATTTCTTTAAAAAAAAAAAAAAAAAACAGCAGAATCACACCAGGTGGCACTGGTTCTTGTGCTTAACCAATCCATCATGCTACTCAAACCAGTTACACCAGTTGAACTGGCTACTATGGTTTGAGTTTTATAACAATGCAAAAAATAAAACCAAATAAATAAGCTCTCATATTTCAAAAGCCAACAACTCATATCATTCATAATGGATAAAGTTGTTGGAAATTAATTAAATTAGTAATCTAGACAGTCGCTTTGAATATTTAGAATTATACATTTTCTCAATCAGAAATGCCTCATGTTCTTTACCTAAAAGTAAACCTCCATTGAACAATTTAGTGCATGTTTGGTTTTCATTTTTAAACACAATTTTTTCTTGTTTTCATTTTTAAACACAATTTTTTCTTCTCTCTATGTCCAAATGTAAATTTACGTAGAAGCTCCTATTTATTATTTCCAGTTACACATAATTTTTCACGTCTTACTCCAATGCAAACACACACTTAAGCAAGAATACAGGCAGGACAAGGACAAGAACAAGAAGAATGCAAAACTGAATTTCTTGTCAGGGTATCAGCAAACTAAAGCCTAAGAGCCCATCTAGATAAACTTCTCTTGAAACACTTCTAGAAGAAAAAAAAAAGTTTTAAGTTATACATAAATTTATTTGTAATATTTTCTACAAATTATAAGAAAATTTCTACAAATTAACTTACATAAGTTAATTATATTTCTTTTTTCTTCCTATTTTATTCAAGAAGTATATATAAACAGATCCTAGAGGCTAACTAAACTAATTTCGGTACAATGATAATTAAGCACAATTTTCAAGATTTTTTTCAACAAATTATAACAAAAGGTAACACTCATCCACCCGTGGCAGAGAACAAACCATCACAAAATCCTTTCCAACAAAGTTGATCAATAACCAGAGCAATCGCTAACAAAACCTTACCAAAGAGCATAACCAAACCAATGCCTATAAAGAAAAAAAATAATTATTCAAATAATAAGATTTGTTAAATTAAAACTTGCATTAGCAAAATTATCATAACAAAACTTATGTGCAAGCAAGCTCTGGCTTCTCCTCCACTAATCAAAAGAGCTTTCACAGAACACAATAACAATAACAACAGAAGAAAACAATTGAAAAAAAAAAAAAAAAAAAGCTTCACTGGAGATCCTCAACGATCTTAATCCCCATGCTATTGGCGGTTCCGATGATGGACTTGGAAATGGACTGGAGAGGCATGTTTTGGAGAAAGGGATCGGACTGCTTGACCTTGGCGATCTCGAACACGTGCCGAACGGAGAGCGTGGAGGCGGTCACGTGACCGGGGCGGCTGCTGCCGGACTCCACGCCGGCGGCTTTCTTAAGGTACCAGGAGACAGACGGCGACTTGACGGTGAACTCGAAAGTGTTGTCCTTGTACGCCGTTATCGTGACGGCCATGGGCGTGTCGGGCTTGTACTTCTGCGTGCGCGCGTTGAAGTCCTTGCAGAAGGCCATCAGGTTCAGACGGTACTGCCCTAGCGCCGGGCCCACCGGAGGCGCCGGCCGGGCTCCGCCAGCGGGCACCTTCAGCCGGATCGTCGCCGCCACTGCTTTCGGGACGCTCATTGCTGGGAATTTTCGAGAAACATGGGGCGGTGAAGTGAGGGTTTGTTTAAGCTTCGCCACATGGGCCTGGCCCAGAAATGAAAAGGTGCTGCTGCTTTGGGCTCTGGACAGGTAGAAAATCGATTCACGGGTATGAGTACGTTCCTTAGGTAATTAATTAGCCACCAATTAATTATTAGTAATTTATTTTTAATATATTAAATTTCAATTTAAAATTAAATATAATAAATATGTATTGAAATAAATTTAAAAATATCTAAAAATATTATAAAATTATTTTTTATATAAATTATTTATTTTATTATTTACAGAGATTAAATAACAAAAACAAATTACTGCTCACTAAAAATAGGTCACTAATAATGTATAATTAAAAGAATACTAATATTATAATATATGTAATGCATAAATTAAAAATTTATTATATATAAATAAAATTTATAATAAATTATATTTAAATTTTAATATTTTTTTAATGATCTATCATTATTTTAAATAACGTAATATTCAGTAACATGGCATATAAGAATAAAATTTTAAAAAATAATATGTAAAATATCTTCATTTATATACATTTGAATGAGTGGTTAATATTTATTTTATTAATAAATTTTATATGTATGACTTTTATTTAATATTTTTAAGTTTTAAATATTATATTATTAAATGTTAATTTGATGAGAGGACCAAAATTTTATACGTATGATGATTGAACTTAATTTCTCATGTTTCTAATTATTCTAACTCTTCCCCATCTAATCATTAGGTTAGGTTGACTAAAAATACAATTTAGTTTTATTTTAAAATATTAAAATTTAATTCATAAATGATAATGATAAATAAAAGTTGAATCAGATAAAATTTTTAAAAAAGATTCTAAAAATTATCTTGTTGAAGAAAATCCTTAAAAATATTATTGTATAAGATAAATATTTGTATTTAATATATAAGGATCAATTGATTGATAATTTATTTAAAAGTATTAAAATTTAATTTAAAAATAATTATGATAAAAAAAACTAAATTAGATAACAAGTTAAAAAAAAACTATAAAACCTTCTCTTTAAAAGTTTCTAAAAATGTTATCGTGTACAAGATAGATGTTTGTGCTTAATATATAAGAGTTGATTGTAGTTTATATATATATATATTATGTTTGAATATATAAATTGTATTTCAAATTTGTATAAATGAATATTTTTAAATGTATAAAATATTTTAAATTTTTTATAAATAATTTATATTTAGCACAATATTAATTTTATTTATTGATAATTTCTTTTAAGAATATGAAAATTTAATTCATAAATAATTATGATACATAAAAACTGTAATAATCTATCTTCGTCCCTACACTATACAACACAACTACTAGTAGTGGAAAACATCTAACTTAAGATTATAAACTTACAAATATAAGACATGTATTATACTGCATACATGTAAAAAGAAAACAATGTATAATCACAACTTCAACTTCAACATGCAACTCTCAATTTAAAGACAATATCTTCCTACATCTCTACAACATTCAACACAACTAACATCATAAAACATCTATAAACAACTCACACAACCTAATCAATTTATGCATATTCAACATAACAACACACACACACATATATAATATCTTTAATGAGTCGTCATACATATCAACTTATAAAGATATCTTACAATTAAGGTAAACAATTTAAGTGGTTAGACCCTACCAAACCATAATGTTGATATAAACTAGAAACAATAGCTAGTAGTGTGGCTAGAAATAATGGCTAGCATAAAACTAGAAACAATGATTAGCATAAATTAGACTAGTTTCTCATATGTTGTCACTTAAACTATGAAGTCTAACTACTATCAGGATAAAACAATTTGTGTATGAGTTTACCATGACATTAGTTTGCAACACTAAGCCACCTATGTGATTAACCCATATTTTAACCTCCAAGTACTATGTCCCTTCGACACTAGGTTAGAGACTAAGTCTCTAACTTGATATTTTACTCAATTTGTCGCTTTATACATGTATATCTCAATTTTGCCCACATACGAATATCAAATAAAACTTAAAGGGGACATTTGAAAAAAACTTACTAATTCAAAAGCCAATGACGGGACTCTCACAGCATCACAACGTATATCCACATAATGAGATATTCAAAATTTTGAAATCAGCTTTACTTCCCCTAGTTTTTACGTATCATAGTTAAGATATGTGTCTAATCCACATGCTTATAGCTTAACAACTTAACAATTTTAGCAACTTAAACAACATACAACTTTATCAACTAACTACTTACAACTTCAAAAATATTCATCTTTACTTAACATATCAACTTTCAACATACAAATTGATCATCATACATCATTCATCTCACAAATGATTCAATGAATACATCAGTTACAACTTAACAACATAAAAAATCATCATTCAATTGTAAAAACAACTTAATAGTAGATGTTTGTCATACAACTTGCACCTAGTGCCACTCAAGGTTGCCCACACCTGTCCATTCAACCAACGCTTAGTGTAGGCTAGGCAAGGACCTTTAGGACTTCACACCCAGTGTGGTAAAACCCCATGCCCAGGCTCACGTCAATTAGTTCTCTTTTCTTATGCTCAACACCATTCAAAACCATGTCCGATGCCAGTTCAATCTGAGACGATTCTTTCTCGTCATGCTTGGCATCATCGATCCATCATCTAGCGTGAGCAAAATAGAGAGCCTTAGATTAAACCACACTATTCGCAATGAAGACGTGTCCAACATGACATTAGTTTTGCATTTAAGTAACACGCGAATTCAGATTCCACCTGAAATCTAGCAAATTTCCAACATATATTTCTTAATACAAGATTTAGACACTATAAGCAACTAAAAAACAATCTCATTTACAACATGCACTCACTAAAACCCACAAATCATCACAACCTCTTCAAACACAACCAACAACAACTCAAAAACCCACTCACATTCTCCTCCTCCTCCATCAAATCATAATAACCAACAAACAATGAATTCAAACAACACCTTATCAACATACAATCCATGAAATTAACATAAGCTTCTCTTAAAACTTGGGTTTTTATACTTTGTAAGATTTGAATCCCCCACTCAACCAGATGGATTAGCTACAAGGAAGATGAGAATTAAAGATATCTTAAAAAAGGAAGAATAAAATCTTGAGTTCTCAAAAAATCTCCCTTTAGAGTTCTTAAAACTCGAACTTATGAGGTTTCAAATTTAAGAAAACTGTATATACTCTTTCTGAGCTAACTCAACTTAACTCTACTAAAACTTACCATTTAACCATACAACTGAAGTAAACAACTCAAAATGACAGTGTGACAAACACAAACGTAATATCTTTAAAAATTGAAAATAGTTCTTATATAAATTATAATCAATATTATTGGTTTATAAAAAGTAGTTTAAGAACACTAGTGAAAAATTAGTATATTACGTCACCTCTTTAACGTCGGATATACTAAAATTTGAAGTAAAAAAGACGCGGTGACATTTTTGTAATTTCTGTGAACTTTTTTACGTCGGACCCTACCAAGTCCGACGTAAAAAGTAAAATCTACGTCGGATGTACATTGTGTCTGACATAGATTATACATTTTACGTCGGACCCTACTAGGTCTGACGTAAAAAAAAGACGCGAAAGCGAATAAGAGAGTGTGCCTCCCCGCACGCATTCACTCACTCGGATCTCATCATCACTTTTTTAGATTCTTCTCTGTAAACTCTCTCCCTCTCCTTTGTTGCTGAATCATTTTTTGTCTTCTGCAGAGTGGGGTGAACTCTGTGGCTGATTATGTGACTAAGTTTGAAGACTTGGTTAGATTCTGCCCTATGTATGATGGTGTGGGCAATGAGGAGGAAAAATGTGTAAAGTTTATGAGTGGTCTTCGACCTGAGATTAAACAAGTTTTCAATTATCAAGGGATCACTCACTATCACGAATTGGTAAACAAGTGTCG